GAGCCAGTCGTAGGCTTTGGCGAACTCGAACTCTTGCCGGACACAGCCCAGTTCCGTAGCTAACGACCAATTGTCTCGCGAAACTCCGTCGGATGCATTGGCTGCCGACGAAACGCGGTGAAAACTCAAAGCGATACTCCTTGAGGCCAAGAATCGTGCGAAACATCCCAACACTTTTGTGAAGAGGCCGTCTTTCGAGAAGCCCTTCTGAAGAGCGTGCTCCGCTGCCGAATTGTCCACGAAGCACAGGACATGTCCACGAACTCCAGAAGCGACCGCGATCACTGACAGAACTTGGGCCAGCATCTCCAACCAAAAGATGAAAGCCTTGGAAGTTGCTGTCTTCTCGAGAACGTCCTGCTTTACTTCGGACCGAAAAGCTAGTCGTTCTCCTGTTGGCGAAAAGAAAACCGCTCCCCAACCGTTGGTGCTGCCCCTCAAGACTGAGTGCGGAACCCCTTCTCTGAGCCAACGGTTTGCAGCGCGAAATGAACCTGACAGTGTGATGTACGCGTCCGCGTACAGTACGAACACAGGCACTTCTGAAGGTCTTAGCGGAATCTGCATCGGCCTGAGATTCGGGAGTAGCTTCGAAAGTTCCTTAAGCGCAGATCTCAGTGCGGAGCTCAAGGCCATCGGTTTCTGGAGACCACTGTGTTGCCGAGCGAAAAGCGGTTTAAGCAAGGCTTTGCCGACCTGACCGAATACCCACGAACACGCGAAATTCAGCTTTCCGGCGAGCTTGGCGGCATCATGCGGATGCAAAATGTCGACCGACAAGATCTGGCTGATTTGCTCGGACAGCTTGTCGATGCGATTCTTGCCCGCCGAGGCGAACAAGTACTCGTCGGTGATCTGCCAATCGACCCCCAGCAGTGTCTGTGACTTCGCCGGGGGTTTGGCCTTCGCCTCCTTCATCTTCGTACCGATGATGCGGTGAAGCTTCTGGAAGGATGCGAACGAAGGTGTGGCAGTTGTTTCGGACTCGCACTTGTAGAAGTCGTCCACGAAATGAGCGGCTGCTATGTTGAGAAGCGAAATCGACAGGAAGCACACTGCATCGGCGAAACGAATGTAGCCCCATACGGATCCGGAGGATCCGAAAGGAAGGACCTGGTGAAGCCAGACCCGTTCGTTGCCTCCTTCTTCTGGTAGCAGCGTCGCACATTCCCTCGGGTTGCGAACTGGAAAGTTCCTATAAGCACCTTCGTGGTCGACCGCCGACAACGTAGGTCGACAGGTCTTGGCTGATCTTCTCACCGAAGAAGCGACCGTGGGTGTCCCCTGATATGGCGGACAGTCCGAAGCCCATACTGTGGCGTTGTGGCCACTCCTGAGCCAATCGTCTGCTCTGCGAACTTTGTCTCCTTGAACCACGTGGAAGGCCTTGGCGACAAAGACCTGGTGTTCCGCGGATTGTTGCCTTAGCCACTCGTCCGAGAAGGGGCCCGCGAACCTGGCTTTGTCTTTTTCTGAGAGAACCTCCTTCTTGATTGCGGCAGAGTGCTCGTCGACCTTGAAGGAGGAAAGAAGTCGCGACGCGTGTGCCTTGTTTAACGAAACGAACTGCTCTCTAGACCACGGTGAGGAGTACTTGCTGTCCTGTCGCAGTAACCACTCGCTTCCGGGCGGAAGCGAACCAAGCAACTTGAAACCCCAGAAGAGCTCGCTTACCAAGTCCTGCCACTCGGGGAACTCGAGAAGGTAGAGCAGGTGTGAGAACGCGAGCAACTTCACGGCGAACTTGTTTGTGCCTTGCTTGTAGACTTCCTGAACGTGAGGCGGGGCGGACGACATCCACTCAACTTGTTCATTCTCCAGCTCGTCCACGAACACTGAGATGTCGTCGACCACCTCGCTTCTCCAGTGGTTGAGCTTTGGTCCCAGTCGCTCTTGTTGCTGAAAAGCGAACTCGAGGCAAGGATTCACGTTGACGGGGAACGCTTCCTCCCAAGTCAGCGAAGTTGACCAAGCGACGTGGTCTCGCTCGTTGTCGGAAGGACCTGTGAGGCGAACCTGTTCGGGTTCGTTCGGGTCCCATTTACATCCACTTCGTCGCCACCATGAGCATGCTCTGAGAAAAGGTCGCGACCCATCGGGATGGTACCGGAGCTCGAACGTAGGAAACGGCTTCTCGTCGTACCACTGGCGAGTTTGTTGAGAAGTCACCTCAACGACCTTGGCGGCGAGCAGGATCACGAACAAAAGAAACCGACTTGTTGGCAGGTGCCACGAGTTGCCCAGTTGTCTGCATCGCGACCTCTCAGGGGCTGATTTGGTGTATCCTTCCGGAAAGTCATGAAGAAATTCGCGGACCGCCGACGAAGGGGCGCCAAGCTTGCCCTTCTCTTCGACCAGGGCGTACGCCCGGTACTGCCACGGTGCGAACTGTTGTCCGTCTTTGCGCCAACGGCTCAAAGTCTCTGGCGACTCGTCGCGCTTCCTCTTGGGAGGAGGAGGAGGAGGAGGGCGACCCTCCGACGTAGGTGCTGGCGTGGTCAAACACGGAAAGCGAACCGAACCCGACTCGACCTGCTCGCTAAACTTCCCAACCCTGCACAGCGTTGCGACCTGCCTTGGAAACCTCGAGCTGGACGGCACCAACTCCCACTGGCGGTTCCAGCGTCGCCAGCGTGCCATTCCTGATGCAATCTGTGGCGCGGCCGTGTCGGACGGGTCTGGCGGCTCGATGTGTGTCGACCACCACAACCTAGGGCGGCTCACGAGTCCGAACGAAGCTGCATCACAGACGAACGATCTCGTTCCCAGCAAGTCGTCAAGTGCTGCTTGTGTCTCTTTGGCCATGACGACGTTCTCGAGGATCAGCGCGAACTTGAGCTTGCAAGTCTGCTTGAACGGTCTCCACCACTGGTGGACCCACTGAGCGAGCTTCTGGCCTTCCGAACCTGCTGTCCCTTTCGCTGCCTCGCCCTTGATCTGCGAAAAATCGGGGCACGGCGGCGCGCATGCGATCAGGACGAATGTCGATGCGGGGCACTGCTCCTGCAAGGCTGTGGCCGCTTTGACCGGATCTGCGGACATCGCATCTCCCTGCTGTGTAACTTCGGGGTGTCTAGAGCGAACCACTTTGTGGCAGTCCTCGTCGAGCTCCCATGACCACGATACGACCGGCCGTATCTGAAGGTCCAGCAGTGATTGGTGAGCACTGCCGATGCCGTCGAAAAAGGAGAGCAATGCGACCTTGCCTGACTTATGGCCTGAGTTCGCGACCTGATTGGGCTGGGGCGGTTGGCTGCCCGAAGACTGTTGAGGTTGACTGGTGACCTCCTGGCGACCTGTGGCAGCTAGTTGCTTCGGGGGTTGTGGAAGCTGCTTGGGCCCCACTGGCACCGTTCCTCCTATCTTAGGGGGAGCGGGGACTAAACCGAACCTAGGGGGGACAACCGGGCGCGGCAGAGTGTCGGGCTTGGGCGAAACGGAAGGCTGAACTGGGATCTGCGGCAGACTTGACGCGCTACCTGAGACTAAGAGGGGATCGGGACTACACTTAGAGGGTTGAGGGGGGAAAGCGCAACTGCTGCCGGACTGCACAAGTCCAGCTGTCGCCCGATCCCGGCTGTCGGACGCCCTGAGCTGTCCCTAGCCCTGGTGAGGCTGTCCCGGAGCGGACTGCGTGGGAGTGTTGGCTGTCCCGGTCCCGGCGTGGCTAAACTTGCATGCCGCTCCGTACTTGCAAAAGCCATTGGCAAACAGGCGACAAGGTGGGTGACCTGGGCCTGCTGGAGTGTACGGGGCTGGTGTGCGAAACTTGCCTTTGCCGAGCCAGTCCTTCGACTTGCCCTTGCCGTCGGCGTCCTTGCCTTTGCCCTTGCCGTCGGGAGGCATCCACTTCGCAAGGGCATCGTGGCGCTCCGTGTTAGTTATGATCTTGTTGACGCCCTCCTGGAACGAACCTTCTGCGCGAAGATGCATAGCCAAGTCCCACGAAGACTTGCGGTAGTACTCGCGGATCTGGGGGATCTTGTTCTGGTTGTCGCGAACGAGGTTGATGAAAAAGTCCACGAACTGGCCGATGACGAACTCCTCCCCCCAACGAGCGAAAATCATGGCCCATCTCACTGCCTCAAGCGCATCAATGACCGTGAGAGCTTTCTGAGGCTCAGGGATGCGGCGGTCCTTGCGGACCAATGCGCCACTGTGGTCGAGCGACAAAGCCTCTGTGAAGCGGTCCTCGGTCTTAGCGAACGGGTTCACTTGGCGACTCGGCGTGAAATTCCTGGAGGAGATCACCTCTCCCAATTTAACGGGAGTGAACAAGCGCGAACTCTCAAACTCGAAGACCATCCTGGCGAGCGTCTCCTCCGCGCCGACCAGAAGGTGCACCGGGAAAACCCGGTTGCGACCCTCTATCTGCGAACTTTCGAAGTCCTTGATGCGCTTGGCCCAATAGCCTTTGGGCAAGGTTTTAGGGGCCTTCGACGGATCTGACGTCGACGTAGCGGGCGAACTCTGTGCAGGCTGCGAACTGGGTGGTGCCGCCGTCGGCTGCAAGTGTGCCGTTCTAGCGAACTCGATCTCGTCGACGATGTGCTCGAGGGAGGCCACCGCCACGTCCAGGGCGACCTCGTCCAGCTTGAGGGTGTTCTCGCCGATCTTCACTCCGAGTTTGAGGGGCTCCAAGGTGCGACCGATTTTCGATCGTTCTGCAAACAAGTGGTACAAGACTCCAGAGCTCGTGACTCCGCGATCACGAAGGAACACGATGACTTGCTTGTCGAGTCCCGCGGAGGTGGCCAGGTCCTCGAACTTGGGAAGCGAACCTGCCAAAGACGTCGTCATGCTTTCGGAGTCGCCGGACTCCTCGCTAGGGGGAGCTACTGGCTGCTGGTCCTGAGAGCTGCGAACCGCTTGTTCCTCAGCAAAACACTTAGCACATCTGGAGAATCCCGGTAAAACAGACGGGTGCCGAAGATGATTAGACGAACCGTAGTGCCAGCGACCGCATGCGGACACCCAGTCGAAGCTCTGCAAAGCCTGTTCATTCTCGCACGGCTTGTGAGCGAACTTGGTTCGCGTATTATGCACGAAAACCGCCTTGTTCTGCCAGCATTCGGCCACAACTCGGCGAACGACTGACTCAACTGCGTCAGCAGAAACCCCTTGCGCCTGAGGTTGGCTCGATGAAGAAGCACTCGCTGAGCTCGGAGCGGAAGTAAGGGCCGAGCGAACCTGTGCAGCAGTCTGGTCCGGAACGAAAATTGCGTCTTGCACGTATCTCATCACGGACATGGAGCCCCAGCGACCAATCACTTGAATCACCGGCAGGGGTACCCCCGCTCTTGCGAAAAGCTGAGCTCCCGAAACGCGGAAGCAATGTTGTGACCATTTCTCTAAAGCGGTCGGCGACCACTCGTACAGCGTCTCCTGATGCAAAACGAAAGCGCAAATCCGCGCCAACTGAGTCATCTGGCGTTGGGAGACTGCGGACTGACCATCACCGAAAAGCGGCTGAGACGGGTCGTACGACCCCGACTTCCTTCTGCGAACGATCAGTTCCAACAAAGCGTGAAACACGCACAAAGGGTGTCTTCCCGAACTGCACTTGCACTTCTGTAGGGACGTAAACATCGTGGCCTTGTCCTCTGAATGAGGGCACTGTGGCTCGTGTTCCAGCGAACAGATGCAGACATGCCGTCGCTCACATTCCTTTCCTTCGAGGTCCGTTTTGCTAACGGGCAGCCGAACTGTAACAGCTCGCTCGGATCTGTTGAACCGAACATCCTCGCCCTTAACACCCGCGACCTCGATTCCCCGGAGAAGGAACCACAGTGCAGTAATCGCTGTGGCGAACGGTTCTTTCACTCTCAGCGACATGGGCACTTCCAGTTCGGTGTACGCCTTGGCCAGAGCGAAACTGAAGTCTAAACGAACATGATCGAAAGAAATGTTGAGCTTTGCTGCTGCCGGGCCAATGCCGCGCATGATAGAACGAATGGCCTGTGCACGGGCCAAGTCGAGCTGCTGCGACCAAGTGTGACCAACTTCAATGTGGCGCGATTTTGCAATAGCGAAATATTGGGCAGCAGAGCGGTACCGCCCAACCTTCATCAATGCTCCTATCGCGAAAATCAGCTCCACAGTCACTGGAAGCGGCGACATCTGTCGCTTTGCGGCCATGAGGGTCCACGTCGCCCAACGACTCTCGCGCGGCGCTTGAGACGATGTAGCGAAACGATCCTGAAGAAACTCGCGGTCTGCTTGCGCTAAGTCCACGACCACCTTCTCGTTATCGGGACCCGGTGCCAAGCCGATCCTCTGCAGCGAACCTCTGGCGTATGGGTGCACTTCCGGGATGTCGTGGCGAACCTGGGCACGAGCTGGCTGCGAAAGACAAAGGCGATCCATCGCCGCGTTTCCGATAATGGCTCGGACCTGCGACCTTGGGGCGTTCTCCAGGTCCCTAGCGGACTTTATCCCAGCAGAGCTCAGCTTGCGAACGTGGGGTGCATTCCCTGTAGCTTGAAGAACTGCGACCAAACTTGCGAAAGACGAACGATCGGCATCGCACGGAATATGAAACATGTCTGCGAACTAAGGGCGTGACCTTGAGTGAGCAGTACTGCCCAAAACCAATGAGCGGACGCTCGAAATAAAGACAAAACAAACAAGCGAACTGAACCCTTGCAAGCACACTGCGCGAACTCCGAACCTGCTGACATGGTGCCCTCTGCTCTGCGACTGGACCATTGAAACTGCGAACGGCACTCTTTTTGCTGCTCTGCTGGTGGTGCGACGAGGTAAAGGAAGAAGGCTGTACAGCCGAAACTGAGGCGAACGTAGGCCACGACCATCTAGTTACCCGAAAGACCCCACCCCCGGCCAAAGAAAGCGCCC